CGTTCTTATTTCTCCTGCGCCAGCAATATTCCTACCTCTTGCACTACATAGTTCGTTCTATTCCTGCCTTCTTTTCTGCGTCCTTCACATTACTTTCATGCTATAATCATGCGATAATCAGATCAGAATCCAAGGCTTAATCCATTTGAAGTCGTGATATCAGTTTGAATTTCGGCCTAAATTTGGAAAAAAAGTGAATTTTTATGTAAATTCTTAAGTACTCATTTTGGAATGTAGTTGAATGCAACTGATTTGAAATTTCCAATGATCAATTTCCATGCTCTTAAATTTTAATGAATTGGAATTTAATCTTGAGGATATAGGCACGAGCATAAAGAGAATGAAGAAGACAAATTTTTGCTTATGTTATGTACGAACCCCAAATGAAATCTGACCACCAATCTTAACTTTGAAAACTTCATACCTGAAACGAAAATACAAATGAGCACCGAAGAAACTGAAAACCAAGATTCGGTTTCTGGCCTTCCTATATATAAACAAGGATTATGGTTTAAGCCTTTTAACCCAAACATTCCCTGTTCTATGGTTGCCCGAGTACCCTTTTCATTTTCTCACAGCTGTGCGCTAAGATGATTTCGCCATAATTTTCTTTTCCATGCCTTCGAGCAAAAAAAAGCAAATGAAAATTTAAGGTGAATTTTTAGCGGAACAAATTCAGAATGGATTGGAAAATAATTATGGCACTGGTAATAAAGATGGACCATCGTCATCACCACCACCACCAGAAACAACAACAGCACCAGTAACAACAACAACAACAGTCGAAACAGCAATAACAACATCAGCAACTGATGCCCTTTCTACTAGGGACCCGAGCGATTTGACAACAATAAGCGATGAGCATGTAAAAGATTTGGGAGCGATTGCCACTACTGGTGCTGTTACAGCTAGCACGACAGGTCCTGAAATGCAAAAGTCGAATACAACCTTGGATTCAGTGAAACTGGAGCAAAAACTGAAAAAGTCAAAACGAAAGAGTGGAAAGAAGGGAAAAAAAAAACATCGGAAAAAAGTGTGCCCACCGGGACCACCAGGGCCACCTGGAATTCCTGGGCCAAAAGGTATTAGTTTTTTTGCGACAATCAAAAATGAGTTTTTAAAAGTTTTATTGTGAATGTTTATGGTAAAAATATCTACATGAAATGCCCAGAACAGCTGTTCATTCATCATATGACCTCATAACAGTCTGCAAGTGAATTTATCGTTAGGGTAGTTTGGTTTACTAGGAAAAAACTGAAACAACCATTACTCGTTGTTTAACCGTCTTTCTCCACTCCGCTTTTTGTACAGTAACTTGTCCAGTTGGTTTAACCAACAAAGCATCGCCCAGTGGTCAGCCTTTTGACGATTTTGGCGTTCGTTTCTTCTGATGAGTGCGTCTTGCTTTGTCTGGAACACTATCGCTGTGTATATTGGATTATTCTGAAAAATTCATGAATTTCTTGGGGACATGTTACTTTGATCTCAAATGAATGATCCAAACATTTGTTTCTAACCCTTACTTCTCAAAGGGTCTGAAGTTCATTTTTAAAGTAGTCTTTAAGTACGGTTTGTTTATAACCTGTATCTCTTTTAGGCATGGTGATCTTCGCTTCTTAAGATTGCTTGAAAATTAAGCTGGTAATGATTGGTTTGGTTTTTAGGGAAAGATGGCTTCGATGGTGTACCAGGAAGCAAGGGACACGACGTGAGAAGTTATTTCGGATGTTCACCGTGCCTAGCAGGTCCACCTGGGAAACCTGGATACAAAGGTGCTCGAGGAGCGCGAGGTAATCGTGGACCCAAAGGTCTCGATGGTGTTCCAGGTAATCTTTTTTTCAGCAGCCGCGTTGGCAGAAAAGAAGAAATGATTGTCTAATGATTAAAAAAAATTTTCCCAGGATACGATGGAGCAGATGGCGAAGAAGGTCCAGTTGGTGAAGCTGGTCCGAAAGGTTTACCTGGAATGCCAGGAGAACGAGGCGAGTTTCTGATGATCACTTTTGGACCCTGAAATCATAATTTTTGTTATTGGCTTGTTTTTTAAGGTAAATTATGGAATGCAGTGCAATAGGTAGGACTTAATACTTATCTAAAGCCTTCAAAAACCAAAGACTTCCGAAAAACTCTGTTAGAATGGAACATTTCTGGAGTTCTTCATAAAAAAAGTATTTTTCGAGTTTATTTCAAATATATTTTCACACACTGAAAAAAATGCATGTGCGGTTGCATAAAACAAATTTACGTAAAGACAACCATACCGAATTTTAGGAATAAAAGGCAATGATGGAATTAGTTTTGAGAAGGCCAAGCCTGGTCCGAAAGGTAAACCAGGCCCAGTTGGACTACCGGGTGATGAAGGAATGCCGGGTGAAAGAGGCGATGTTGGCGAGCGAGGTATACATTTTCTCTCGTTTTTATGTGGTCCATCCAAAACATACAGAGGGTAAACTATTAACGCAGTTGAAAAATTGATACAAACGATGAAAAATTCGAAAGATGACTAGATAGTCACAGCAAACGACTGCTTGCTTTTCTCAGGAGTAGCCAGTGCTTTTTTTGAGGGATTTGAGCAATTGAAAAGAAGCCGTTCCTAGAAAAATATGTTAAAATACTTCTATCATGTGTATACTCAACGGCAAAAATAGTGAATTATATTGAAGTACATCTATATTTCATTTTTTATAAAAGTGCCATTCTTCTAACCCTTTCCTTGTTCTCCTTGCTGGCGTTTTTTAGCAAATTCATAAGTAGCAGCCTTGTGGTATTTGCTTAATCGGATGCATCCATGCTTTTAAAATGTGGGGAGTAGCAAGACCTAAATGAGTTACAGTCTATAGAAAAATCAAAATATTTAAGTCTAGTTGTTGCATTAGATCAATGCAAATAACGAATTTTTTTTTCTGAATTTGCTCATGTGTCAGTGAGTTTTGAACTATCGGAGGATTGCAGGAAGCGAAGGTGACCAAGGGCCGCTTGGAAGGCAAGGAAAACCGGGTATTGATGGCGACAACGGTCCGCGAGGATTTCAGGGTTCTGACGGTAATTGCCGCTTTCCATGTCTATTTACAGAACCGTTTAATTTTTTGAAAAGTTTACAGACTTTTAATATTTGAAAAGTAAAATAAGTGGCCAACGCGCGGGCTGCCCCTGTGAGGATGCGTTTTTTGCACAGCTCCCCGCAGCTTTTTGTCGCTAACCGCACTTATTTTTCCAGCAGATACTTGTAGCTAAAAGAATTTCAGACTGGCCGCCAGGACTGTCAGGAAACATCCCTTCAGAATTCCAATCATCTAACTCCTCAGGCTCCCGAGTTAACAACTTCCCCGAAAAAAGATTTCACGGGCCCGTACGTGGGTACCACGCTTACCGGGGGCTAGGTTTGAGTTCATTAATACTTACTTGGACGGAGGATATCCCCTTAAGATTTCAGCCTTCTAGCTTCTCGGATTCCCGAGTTATCAACTTACCCGAAAGAAACTTTCAGGTGCCGGTACGTGAGTACCACGCTTGCCGGGGGGAGGGGCTGGGTTTGAGCTCACTAATGCCTACTTGGACGCAGGATATCCCCTTAATATTTCAGCCTTCTAGCTTCCCAGGTCCCCGAGTTACAAACTTGTCCAAATTTTCATAGGCTCCTACGTGGGTACCACGCGTACCCGAGGACTGCGTTTGAGCCCACTAACCCGTTCTTGAATGGGGAAAATCCCCTCAAAATTTCAGCTTTCCAGTTTCTCTCGTTTCCGAGTTAGCAGCTTGTCCGCAAAAAACTTTGGCGGGCCCGTACGTGGGTGCCACGCGGGTAAGAGCGCCCGTTTTGGGGATGGGGGCTCGAACATGCATGTAGATTAAGTTCCTCAGCTTTCAGCCCTGTAGCTTTTGTGGGTCTCGAGATGAAAAGTCGGTACAGACGAACACACAGACACAC